AAGCTATGGAAGGCAGAATTGACGCAGTTGAAAATAAAGTTGGACATATTGAAGAAAGAGTTTCTTCGGTGAAAGAAGAAATAGAAGAAAGAGTTTCTTCTGTAAAAGAACAAATTGATGAGAGAGTTTCTGCAGTTGCCAAAGAAATGGATACTTTAAAGAAATTCGTAGCGTCGGCAGGGAGCAGGAGTGATGATTTTAAATTCTTACCAATGCCTGCTCGTTCACCTCTGAAGCTATCCACATATGATGGGAAGACCTCCTGGCAGGTGTATAAGACACAATTTTCTATGGTGGCGGATGCGAATGGATGGGATTCCCAAGCTAAGGCCTGTCATCTCGCCGCTTCTCTAAGAGCCGACGCAGCGGATATCCTTCAGACTCTTCCCGAAAACAAAGGTTAGATTTCGAAGCTCTGTCCGGCGCCTTGGAGTTGCGCTTTGGGGAAGTGTTTAAAAGACTACAGCAGGCTCCAATTAAAATCTCGTCAACAGAAGCCTACCGAAACACTTCAGGAGCTCGCCGCGGATGTTGAAAGGCTGTCCCATCTCGCCTTTTCGGAATGCCCAACAGAAACAAGGGAAATCCTGTCCTTGCAATACTTTATCGACGGCATCCGAGATACTGAAATACAGAAAGCTCTACGAATGGCGGATGTAAAAGATTTAAAAAGTGCTCTAGTGTACGCCATGAAATTCGAGGCAGCCCAGCAAGCAACTAGTAGAGATCGCTACCCAGTTAGAGCTGTGCGAGTCCATGAGCCAGTGGATCAACTGATGGCTCGTTTAGATGATTTAGCCAGACAAGTCGAAGATTTGATACGGAGTAGGAGCGAGAAGAAAGTAGCTCTAAGGTGTTGGAGATGTGGTAGTGAAGGTCACCTAAGGCGGAATTGCAGAACACCCCCAGGGTACGGAATATAAAGCAGATGATTTTACCAGACAAGTCAGTGGCTTGAGACGGAACAGAAGTGAAAAGAAACTAATTCTAAAGTGCTGGAACTGCGGAGTTGAAGGCCACATACGCAGAAACTGCAGAACACCCCGAGGTACGGAAAATAAGACCATTTCCCAGCAACAACGCAGCAAACAAATTAGTGACCATATCGAGGAACGGAGGTTGCCAGATAGTGAAAAACCTTGTTTTAAAGCTCTTAAAATTTATACAGTGAGTGGCAACAATAACGGACTGTCCATCAATGGGAATATCGATGGAGTTCCTTGCAGTATGATCATTGACACAGGAGCTAATGTTACCATCATTAGGAAAGATTTAGCTGAATAGTTTAAAGATAAACTTATTTGGACGCCATCCTGTGTTACCCTTCAGACTGCGTCTGGTGACAAGATCGACATAACTGGGAAGTTAAACGTAAACATCACGTTTGGAAGTGCCGCCTACCATCACACGGCATATGTGGCGGATATTACAGATCCATGCATACTCGGATTGGACTTTTTAAGGAAATACAATTTTTCCTTAGACTTGAAAAACAACAAATTGCTTTCAGGATCTAAAGACATGACTATCCATCCTAAGAAGGGATCCTCACCTGGAAATGCCGACGCTTTGTCCGAAAGAACCAGCTCGAGAAACAGCCGAAATCATGCTAGGGTCGAAAAGAAACACCAGACTACCAGCTATTCGCCATCTCAGATGCTCTTCGGTCGAGACCTTCGTCTGCCTTGTGACCGCCTGTTTCATCGCCGTACGGATGCGCCTTCATCGCCTGAGGAACAAACACATCCAAGATGTCAAGGCCCGTTTTGAAGTGATGCACCGTTCCGCACGAAAGCGAGTGAACTTGGCGACGGAGAAAGTGGAGACCAGATACAACACGAGAGCTGCTGGACATAGATCCAACGAAGGAGACAAGGTGTGGTTGTGGAACCCGATTCGACGAAAAGGAGTCAGGCCTGATTTACAGTCACCTTGGGATGGTTCGCACACAATCCTAAACAGGCTAAATGACGTCATGGTTCGGATCCGTGAGTCTTCGAACTCTTACGACAGGTTAGCTCATTACTATGACCATAGTACATAATGTAAATAATTGTAAATAGTATAAGACCATGGTCCATTTTTGTTTTTAAATGTGTATTTGATTTGTATTTGATAGCATTTGATTTGTTTTATGTATTGCATTTATTGTTCATGTTGTTTATTATTGTAATGTAATGCTTATTAATGCATTTATGCCACAGTTTTAAGTTTTGCTTCCTGTCCAGGGATTGTACTGCCCGGGACGTGCAGTCCTTGGGAACGGGGCAGTGTTACGAATTTGGTATTTAAAAAGCTAATGTTAGTTCAATTAGAAATTAAATGGTTTTATTTCTCGCGCAGTGCAGCGCGTGACGAATATTAAAAGAAAGCTAAGCCGGAAAATTGAAAATACAAGAGCGCGTGCATTAAATAAATAAATATCTCTTTTTGATTTCGAGAAAGTACTGGAAAATTCTAGCGCGTGATTTTAAAATCTTATAAAAGGAGGAAAACATCTCAGTTAGTAGTTGCTTAGTTTGTTGTTGTTTAGAAAACTACTGTTGTTGATTGTAGCGAATTCGCGGATTAGCGTTCTTTAGCTGTTTTGAATTACGTTCTATTGACATTTGAGTAGTTAAAAGAAAACTACTGTGAGATATTGTAATACTGCATGATAATTTGAGAAAATTTAAGCATTTTTGTTGTGATAATAATAAATTTTTGTTCATTTTTCATCGGACTTGTGCATTCATTTCATAACGAACCCGTACGCACGCAACAGTATGGAATGCTCCAAAAAGTTTTCAAGGAGAATTAACAGTCAAGTTAACCAACTCAGTAAAGACCTAAAATTGTTGTAAAAGTAAGAATAATATCACAGAAACTGTAAAGTCACTGAACACGGGCAGTTTGAACGGCGAATGAAATTGACCAAAATTGTTTGGAGAAGTTATAAGGTATTTCTCCCACTTCCCTAGCGTGCTTTCGTGGTGTAACGATAGCACGCTGGGCCGGAGAGGTTCGATTCCCGGCGAAGGCGGTTGCTAATTTTTCATCTCTTTGGCTTCCAAAAATCCTAATGTCTCTACAAAGTGAGTGGCTATCTTAGGGTTAACGGGATCACCTCTAAATATAACTAGTATTTCTGAGGGCATATATAAAAATCAATAGTAAATATTACTTCTCTAAAATAACCAACTCCACAGAAATTGAAAGTCATTAAGAATCATGGATGATCATTTTACTGAATTTTTATCGATTTTATAGCATTTGGGTAGCTGCAGTTTTTTATCGTGACGGTAATGTTTCTGATGTGGATGATAGTGTAAGGGAAGAAAAGTTAGAGAAAGCTTTTGCAACAGGAATACAGTAAACACTGTTGGGGAGGCCAACTTCCTAAGAGGACCAAATCTGAAAGTGAGCAGTATTTCTGGGAATATTTATCGGTACTGAGCATCAGCTCTCCAAGGCAACGCCTTCGCAGAAGGCCAGTATGATGCGGAAGATAGTCTGAGACAGGTTTTCTATACTTTATATGTACCGGAAAAGTCGAAATATGCTCTGTTATCATGATACTAAGCGAATATAAAGCGAGAGGAGATCTTCCATTTCTGGAACTTTTGTATTCATTTAATAGAACTGATATTATTTGTATATATGAGTCCTTTCTAAGTCGATCATCTACAGTTCTAGTTTATCTTGGTCTTTTGCAAAGGTTTTTCAAAGTGACGTTCGATATCAGTGTACAGTCATTAAGTTATTTTGAAGCAGGAGACGTGAATAATGAGCAATATCCTCAAACTTGGATCTCTCGAATAGGCGCCGAGTGTGCTAACGTTACACCACGAAGTCATGCAGAAAGGAGGGAGAAAATACCTTATATCAGTATTAACTGACGTTCTTGGAAATACCGATCACTTTCAGAGCGATAAGAAGCCTGAGAAAGGTAATCGCGTTGTTAAAAAACAACCTGAATGAATATTTATTAGCAATTATAAAAAGTTAATATTGGTTTTTGAGTAAAATTAAAAGATTCACTAAAAGAATGTGAAAAAACTTATGTTCTGTTTTTATTCTGAATTATTCCCCTTCCCTCCGTCTTACTTTTCCCCTTTAATTAAAATAAATTCTTTTTATAGTAATGATGAAACTTGCAGACAAGCGCAGCCATAGCTACATAATTTATTGCTGGATAACTAATCCTTGAGACAAATATTCCGATTCGTACATCATCACGGCCGCTACATGCACCCTACAATTTTGTAAGTTCAGCACATCTTCAGACTGCGGACGATACAGAGAAGCGGGCCGCGATATGTTGGTTTGAAGCAAGGAAGCAGAAAAGTGTATGAAGTGTTCAGAAGAAGCTTGCGAGGGATCAAAAAAGGTTTTGTTTCAGTAGAAATCTTATTCAATGACTGGATAAGCGGCATCTACATTGCAGCGTTATGTAAGATTTTATGATGCGAATTAATTTTGAGATAACGCAATTTAGACTGATATGCTATAAATAATGACTAGCTTCTAAGACAGGAAAGGGAAATTACCCAAATTAAAATGAAGAATAAAAGAGATTATTGATAATAAATTTACAGTTATTAAGTTTGATTTACATATTTTTATCTTACATATACTACTACAATAATACAAATAAACTAAAAAATTAGTTTCCTCCATTTCATCCCGCTGACTTTTTTCAGCTTGCCAGCACTGCTTGGACGAGGTTGTAAACTACGAAGTCTTCATTAATAATACTGAAGATAAATATGAAGCTTTTAGAAATTTCAAAATTCTCCAGTCAAAGGAAGGGATTATTCCGGATTGAATTATTCTGGACTGAATTATTATGGATTGATTATTTTATTCAGTCCAGAATAATTCATATCATGCGCAGTGAACCGAGAGGCTTCGACAGGCAGACGAAGCAGCTATGATGCCACTGTAATTTTATAAATTTATTTTTAAAAATTAATTAAAATTTTTTTTTATTTTGCGGCAGCTTACTTGTAATTTCTTTCTTTTTTTTTTTTTTTTTTTTTTTTTTTTTTTAAATTTCCTTGAGCATTTCCGAAAGGAAGTCTTATATCTTGAAAAATAAATTAATAATCAATTCAGAAATTCTTAATTCCCGAATTTTCCGCTCCCAAATCAGGGATACTATAAATAAACTATAAATAGAACAATCCATAATTGCCCTATAAATAGTACAATCTCTAGTTATAACATTCCTGAATTTCATGGACGAAAGCTTAGGTTTAGAAACTTAAGTGATGTCTGAGAAGAATATTTTATATCACTGGAACTTTAATTCTGTCCTTCAAAGAAAACTTACCACGGGGAAAAAAAAAAAAAAAAAAAAAAAAAAAAAAAAAAATGCTTCTTTGCCAGACGAAGGCAGAAGTTTGATAGTGAACTAAGCACTAGGGTTCACTCAACGCTATATTAGTATCCAAACAGGAAGACTTTCTCTCTTTCTAAAAGCCGCACGTGCCACAGCCGAAAAGCCATAATTCGTCCTTGACGAGAGAACCGAATTTTTCAAGGAGCCCTAACTTATTTCCCTTCTCTCCTTTGGCATCATATCTGCTTCGTCTGTCTGCTGCAGCAATAATACTGCCGCGTGAAACTGGTGGCAAGCTATTTTAAACTCCTGTGAAGCTTTCAAACGATGGAATGATCTTGCACACTCAAGCTAAAACGCGACTTCTCAATCTCTCTCTTTCTTCTTCTTCTTCTTCTTCTCTCCTCCTATTTTTTTTTTTTTTTTTTTAACTTCTGTCGTGCGGTTTTCATCTTCGTTTTTCGAGGCCACGGGCCCTTGTTCAGCCTTTACCGGAAATAAACCATGTTGGTATTGTTGGTGCTGTTAGGTGCCTCGATGCATCTTCTGGATGTTTCTTTTATTCCCCCTTCCGGGTGTGTGTTTTTCTGTCTTTCTTTCTTTTTTTTTTTTTTTTTTTTTTTTTCGCATTTACAACATGTGGATGGTGTTAAAGTGTTCTTATTGATGATTCAGGGATCAAAATTCTGAATACTGTACCGCTACATTTTGCGGCTTTGATGGGTGCCAAGATTTTTAAACATTCTGGGCTCGCTGCCGTTTCACCGAAGTAACCAGATGAGGAAATTTGCGTCGAGGTCTTCGAACTACTTATTTCCTGGTATCATCTGCCGTAACATCACAGGTTTTCTGTTTTTGACTGCTGTCGCATATTAATAATAACTGAAAATAAAAACATTTTAAAAACGTTAACTATAATCTGAGGTTTAATTTTTAAAATTAATTCTACAATAGTCATAGGAAGAGTCATTAGAAATGGTACATAAAACTAAATAAATAGCAATAGTAAATAAATAAGACAATGGAATTATAAATGGTTCAATAAAATACAATAAAAACTTTCTGGCAACAACCTCCCGAAAGTGAACAACATTTTTTATAACACAAACTCACATGGAGACTGAATATTTCCTCTTAGATGACATAAATACGGAACTACAGAATTATCAAAAGAGTTACGGGTGATCGCATTAAAACACTGCTATATAAAGAATATAATTCAAAGAATATATAAGGATAAATGTAGAAAATGTGACAATTCGATTCCTGGAAAGCATCTTTAAAAAATATGTGCACGGAACTGTACATTAGTGAATATTCTCGACTGTAAAATTCTGCCTTTGCCCATCTATACTCTGATGTTGCCATTTTTGGAAGAAGCCTAGAACTCATTTTCTGGAACGCTGTTAAATACCTATCTTCTCTTGTATTTTCTTGGATATCAGGTACATTAGAAAAACTCCGTCTCTTCGCCTCAATTTTTAATTTGGAAAAATACCCAGAAATCCCAGAAAATTAATTCAGTTGGAAAGGTAGGTTGATCTAATTGGTTTATTTATTTTTTTTAGCCAGGAAGTGTTTTATAAAGAGAGAACTGTGACTGTATGTGCGAAGCACAAATTTTTTCCCACTTAATTCTCAAATTAAAATTAGAAAAAGTTTCCCCTCAATTAATCTGTAATTCTTCAGCTAACAGTCTCACATTTAATCCTTTATCAGACCATATCGACCTTGTCTTCTGTTAGTGCAACCGTTCATTGATATTTTTGACTATCTGCTCCTGGGTTTATCCATTATATATTTTCACTTCTGTTTGAAATTTTTATTTCACTCAAACACACTTGATTTTTTCAAGATTTCTTCATTACAAGTAATTTTCAATAGTCCTAACTTTTCAAGTTTTTTTTTTTTTTTTTTTCTTCCGATTTTTTAGAAGTTTCAATATAAATACAATAAACCCTCACGAAGCCAGCATTTTCTTAAAAAGCTATAGCTTTGGAAGTAAGGCTTATTTCTGGAAGTATATAGAAATATCGCTAATGAACATTTCCTCTATGAAACGATCACCTCCGCAGAAGAACAAAAAATGATCTGAAATCATGACTGGCCGTCTTAGAAAGGATTTAGTGTATCCATTTCCTTTCCAGTTCCTAAACCACATTGAACCCTCTTTAGGACGACCATTTTCGGTTCTGGATGCGGTTTTCTGTGGAGGTAGTCATCTTAGGATATGTTCAATACCGGAGCGTATTCATGTTCTTAGAAACATTGATTTATCTTACAGATTGTTGTTTACGAGAAGTGGCCGCCTCAGACATAGCGAATTTACGATTTATATGGGAATGTTCTTGTTTGAACGTATAGCGAATTTACGATTTATATGGGAAAAAAATACTGTACAAGAGGAATATTCATGCCACTCGCGATAAGCCGACGAGTATCCAAATTTAATTTAATTTAATTAGATTTTTTCTTTAAATTTGGATACTCGTCGGCTTATCGCGAGTGGCATGAATATTCCTCTTGTACAGTATTTTTTTCCCATATAAATCGTAAATTCGCTATACGTTCAAACAAGAACATTCCCATATAAATCGTAAATTCGCTATGTCTGAGGCGGCCACTTCTCGTAAACAACAATCTGTAAGATAAATCAATGTTTCTAAGAACATGAATACGCTCCGGTATTGAACATATCCTAAGATGACTACCTCCACAGAAAACCGCATCCAGAACCGAAAATGGTCGTCCTAAAGAGGGTTCAATGTGGTTTAGGAACTGGAAAGGAAATGGATACACTAAATCCTTTCTAAGACGGCCAGTCATGATTTCAGATCATTTTTTGTTCTTCTGCGGAGGTGATCGTTTCATAGAGGAAATGTTCATTAGCGATATTTCTATATACTTCCAGAAATAAGCCTTACTTCCAAAGCTATAGCTTTTTAAGAAAATGCTGGCTTCGTGAGGGTTTATTGTATTTATATTGAAACTTCTAAAAAATCGGAAGAAAAAAAAAAAAAAAAAAAAAAAAACTTGAAAAGTTAGGACTATTGAAAATTACTTGTAATGAAGAAATCTTGAAAAAATCAAGTGTGTTTGAGTGAAAAAAAAATTTCAAACAGAAGTGAAAATATATAATGGATAAACCCAGGAGCAGATAGTCAAAAATATCAATGAACGGTTGCACTAACAGAAGACAAGGTCGATATGGTCTGATAAAGGATTAAATGTGAGACTGTTAGCTGAAGAATTACAGATTAATTGAGGGGAAACTTTTTCTAATTTTAATTTGAGAATTAAGTGGGAAAAAATTTGTGCTTCGCACATACAGCCACAGTTCTCTCTTTATAAAACACTTCCTGGCTAAAAAAATAAATAAACCAATTAGATCAACCTACCTTTCCAACTGAATTAATTTTTCTGGGATTTCTGGGTATTTTTCCAAATTAAAAATTGAGGCGAAGAGACGGAGTTTTTCTAATGTACCTGATATCCAAGAAAATACAAGAGAAGATAGGTATTTAACAGCGTTCCAGAAAATGAGTTCTAGGCTTCTTCCAAAAATGGCAACATCAGAGTATAGATCGGCAAAGGCAGAATTTTACAGTCGAGAATATTCACTAATGTACAGTTAATTAATGTTCAAACAAGAACATTCATGTGATTTCGATATATATATTTCACGGATCATGTTCTGTGGCCATTACAAGAATTAAATTTTCGTTCCTTGTATACATAATCGTATATAATCATATTTCTGAGGGTATTTTTAGCACGTCTTGTCCTGCACATTTCATCTTGTTTATGCTTTTTACTTCTTTTTCATTTAAAATCTAAAAATTATTGTTCTTTACAGCAACATACAAGAAATTATTGTTCTTTACCTTTTCAATTACAATAACATACATTTTCTTCATTCTACCTAAAAATTAGATTTTTTCTTTAAATTTGGATACTCGTCGGCTTATCGCGAGTGGCATGAATATTCCTCTTGTACAGTATTTTTTTCCCATATAAATCGTAAATTCGCTATACGACTTCTTTTGTGAAAATGGTCGACGTAGAAGATGACTGTTAGTGATAATAATTATCAGTTTACAGAACGAATTTACTCAAGGATCTTGCATTCTGTTAAAGAAAAATATGGAAGTAGCAAATAAACGCAGGAGGAAAACAGGTCTTACCTTCGCCTTTCCTTCTCCTTAAATACTGTTAATTTCCTGAAGCACTGTAAAATATATTTTAAATACGAAAAACAGATTTTACTTTTAAAACAGAAAATAAAAGAAAAATTGCATTCTAAATTTTGTTTAGTATTTTCGAAAATACTCGCTATTTATTACAATATTCATCAAACGAAATCTGCCAATATTTGCTACAGACCACAAGCAGTATTTTCAATAATTGTATTTTAATCGTAATAATAATCGTTTTCAATCGTGTTTCTAAACTGAATGATTTTCTATTTTAATTTTTAGACAACTTCTAACCTTCTTGATACTTATTTTACCTCGGTGGACTTTTTTATGTAAGGCTACTCTGAAAACATTAATGAAAAAGATCAACACTTTCAGCCCTTACAGTAGGAGTCAATATAGTAAGATAACCAAAAAATCAAGACATGATTCGATTTACAGGAAATCGGATGCAACTTTGCATTCTGCGAAGCGGCTGATGGAAAATAAAACCAATTTGAAAAAATTCAGGCAAGAATTGCAGGTTTTTTTTCTAGCACGTTAACATTTGACATCAAGCGCAGACAGAAAAAGGAAATAATGATAATAACAAAAGCAGTTTCGGAGCCATTTAAACAAGGTCTTCGATACTTTGAATCGAACATACATATTAAATTGCATCACATTGATTTAAACATTATTTAATAAATTATTTACTATTGTTGCCTATTAAAATAGCCTTGATATTATAAGAAGAAATAGAAATGGAAATCTTTTGATTTATTTAACACATAAAATATTTTAGACATATAATGATATTTTTATAAATCGGATAAGCGACTCTTTATCGTAGATAATACTGCTATCATAATTAACACCGATATTCTCAGAAATATTGGCCACTTTCAGCAATGTGTTTGAATGTTTCATTAACGTAGCCCTCACTTGCAATGTAATACTAAAAGGAACCATAAGGCGCCAAAATATGCCAGTTTAAAAATTATATTTAAAATATTAGTATCGTCATTTTGCTCGGTTTATGGACTACTTAACTTTACGACGAAAAATCATCCATTCCCAACAGCAGAAAATGGGAAGTAGGTCACGATTATGTGCCATCTATTAAACGATTTCGAAAGATGACTTTAGTTTTTTTTTATTGATAAGCGAAGTCAAAATTACGTTTCACGTGAGAATTTTATTTATTTTATTTTAATAACACAATTCTGTTATCATTCACGTGGGTTGATTACGTCAGAGGACAGCTTACGCAGTGTGTATACAAAAGTGAAATCCGTCATTTCTTTGAAATACGTCCCACCAGTCGACATGGATATGAATACTACAAACAACATGATTGCAACATTGCATAAATTAAAATTAAAATTATCTTCTTATAGTATTAGTTGCAATGCATGACATAATACTTATGACAAGAAATTTAACCCATTTCTGTCTGCTTTTACTTAAATTGCATATTTATAGTTTGAATATAAATTGCATATTTATAGTTTGAATATAAATTGCATATTTATAGTTTGAATATATAAGTATCGAGGCTACATCAGGGGTTTTCACTCTTCTTAGCCCCATGCGCCCCTTTCATCATTGATGGATGATCATCCCTCTTTCTTTTCATAACTTGAAAAATTTACATTTATTTAAATTTAGATTATATTTTTTAATGTGCTTTATAAATTAAACGCG